CCAATTATGTGGAAAGTAGTGGGCAGCCTGCAAGAAGACGCGTCCGTACATAAACTCACTTTTTTTGGTGCATCGAGTGGCCATGAGTTTACAAAAAAACAAAAAGTATCGAGTATTAAATGTCAGTTTACGAAGACAAAACTGAATTGTATTTTTTCAGAACGTTATCTAGTTTGTGTTAGGCCATTGTACAGTTTGTCTTATTTTTGTTTCTTTTGTATTAATAAAATGCAATATTTAATCCAACTTGAACTTTTGTCGGCTTTTTTGAAAAGACTCCCGGAAACGTAACTAGACGCAAAAGCTTGACTCGTTCCATAGCAATTTAATCCCAAGACAACCGCCCTTAATTGCGGGATGCTAGGTGGTGACTACGGGCTGGCAAACCCTTTAGTTTTGCGTTTATCTGCCAACAGTTCATAGAAAGCTGACAAAGCGGTCAAGTTATACGTTTAAGTTCGAGAAGGATTCTAAAAAATAATGATTTTTAGGCTTTTGGCATTGGTTAAACCATTTCCATACCGGCTGAAGTTGTCTGAAAAATTAGACCATATTAGTCAAAGGACGTCTGGTTATTTGCGGGCTTTTGAAGTTTTTTGAATTTTTGCTAGTTTTTGGTTCATTTTGGAATGATTCATTAAAAAAATTGGCAAGGCCATTTCATTTTGGTTTGAAACGATATATTGAATTTATTTTAAAGGTCATTTTTGGTCAGAACTTATGCGAATTAAGAAGCGCAAAACTGTCTGGCTTTAAATGGCAAAAATTTCTCTCTGTCAATGTTTTGATGTTTACCGAAGTCCCCTTTGAAGTAAGTTTTCTTTTCATTTTGGATTAAAACGGTGTTAAGTCATAGAAATAGTTTTAAAAAGTAGCGATACAAAATTGCTAGGGCAACAAAAGGTAGGGTGTGAAACTGTATGGTGTTGAGTTGTTTAGATTTAAAAAGGAATAACCTTATTTGATTGTTTCAACTGCTTTTTAAAACCGATGAGAACATTTTTGGTTTCAAAAGTTGTTGTAAATGTGTAAACTTTGTTGAAAATTTTTCAATTTTTCATTAAAATTCTATCATGGTGTGCGGGGGGATATTATCTGGAACAAAATTTTAAAAATCCTTTCTACAGTTTTGGCCTCATTTCTTCTTAGAATAACTTAAGTTGGAGATTAAGATTGAATAGAACAAACTATATTTTGTGTTATTCATCCCATTAAGAAGTTCCAAGTTGAATACTTCATAACTTAAGAAAAAAAACAATTGCAGGTGAGGGTTTTTTTTAGTTTTGAGATACATACTTCAACATATTTCGGATGGTATGAAAAGCCGACAGGTAGTTTAACAGTAAAGGTCGGAAATTTTCTGGAGAAAAAAACAACCACAACCAACCATAATAGTCCGCCACTTTCTGTTAACACGGAAAAAATCCCAATTAAAAAACGGTGTTTGCTCACAAAAGCAGTTAAAATGAAATAACAGATAATATTATAAACTTAGGTTCATTATAAACCTTGCAAAGAAAAATCTAAATGGCTTGAAAGACACATTTCAAGTCTTTTATAAAGCGTAATTGCTGTGATTAGTATCTTAACATCACACTGAATTGAAGCAGCAAAAAATGTATTTGCTTAAGCTTTTTCCGTCTTGAATCTGATTAGTCAAAAATGCAGTTTTCCCAACAGCCAATGTTTGTAACCATGTAAAAATCTTGTATGAATGGCTGAATACTGTTTCAAAAACATTAAGAATGAGTACTCGATACAAGTTGTTGAGATAGGTGCAAAACAAGCTTAGGCAGTTGTGCAAAAAAAACTTGAAAACGCTTTACTTGTTCATTTTAAGAAACTTGGTCAATTTAAAACAAGGATAACTGGCACAGAATCTTGCGACGTTTTTCAAGAAACACTAAAAATAGTTTTTTATTTTTTTTCCATTTAAAGCGTGGTGTGATAAAATTTTTTTACATATGCGTAGAACATTAGTGAATTGGATACAGTCGACAAGAGTTTTCCTCAAAAAAAAGAACTCGATACAATGGAAAAATTGCATTACAATTTATTGAAACAAATAGCTGAAAAAATAGCCTGAAAAAATTTCATGCATTTGTCTCGGACGATGATCAAAAACAGCCTTAGCAAGCAAAGAGCATCACTAAACGAGCAGAAACCAATCCGAAAAAAGATCAACCTCAATGAGTTGAAAACAAAAATATAGACAATAGGTCAAAATACAAAGTTTCTTTCAAGTTTTCTACGACCCATCCCTCCTGGAACAGGCAAAAGCATTGAAACCAATTCACCCTTGATTGCGCGTTTTGACAAACGACAAACCAACTTTCAACAGTAAAAAATATTTGAATCAAAATTTCAGAAAAAAATTATGTATAAAAAAGTACCTCTTGAAAAGCTTATAAAGTATTACAAATTGCATTTGAAAGAAAATAATAAAGAATCAGCCGCCAAAAATTAGGACGAAAAACATAAATTTGAAAAACAATCTGAAAACAAAATCGTTTTCTCAATATTCGAATTTGAAAAAAATATTATTAACCCACATGAAATGAAAAAGAGTTCATTTGATTTTTCAAGCAATGGAGCATGTCAGCTTTTGAAAATATTAGATATGAGCATTTTGGCAGAAAGTGCGAGAAAAGTTGTTTACTAAGAAAAAGTCTAGTTTCCGATCAGACGTCGCTTGCTCTCAAAACTGAAATAATCTTTTTTTAGTGAATTATAATCGAATATTTTTCACTTTTATAGACACTGACAAAAACAATCGAATTGCATCGATATAAATAAGAGTTGGACTTGAATATATTAAATTCTCGGTACAGCTTGAAGTCCCGTTGGCTTGATTTCCGGCGCCCAAATTGATGTTACAAAAGACTGAGTGCCTAAAATTTGAGTGTGCATAAGCCAGCCACAATTTTAGAGAAATGAAAGCAAGCAGCCCGGGTTGACCTCCATAGACCAAAAATGCTAATCATACAATTCCATAAACCAAGTCTATGAAAAAATACTAATCATACAAGTTTCATACATTTTGCTAATTTTTCTTTTCCATATATAAAAATTGTATAACTAGCATTTTTGGTCAACCCGGGAGAGTATAAAAATCATCTACAATTGAGTCATTACAACATCAAGAAGTGGCGGGGAGGAACTAAGGCGTAGGCTAGTTTTTACGAATCTACAAAACTAATGCCTCCCCGCACCGGAGTTCCATGGATAATAATCGATTATATTGGAAAAATGTTGTCTGAAATGTTGTCATTATAATCCATTATAATCCATTATAATCCATTATTGTGGCAAATTTAGACCACGTAATCGATTATGTGGTCATTAAAATCGATTTTTTTTTGAAAAACAAAAATCCATTGTAATCCATTATAATCGATTATAATCCATTATTTTTGTCACTAAAATCGATTATTTTGAAATAAAAATCCATTATAATCCATTTCATTTTTAGAACTAAATTCAATTATTTTTTGCAAAATATTGCAAATTTTGCGAGAAATTTGCAGAATTTATGCCATGTCTTTTACTACTGGGAGGGGGGAAGCTTGGGGGGGGGGAAGCTGTGGGGGGGGGGTAGAGAAACTGGGGGGGGGGGGAGTTGGGTAAATAAATTCGGGTAAGCTGGGGGAGGGTAAATGGAGGACTGCTAAACTGGGGGAGGGTTAATTGTATGTTGGTTAAAAAAAACTGGGTTAAAAAAACTTATAATTATTATCCATGGAACTCCGGTGGGGGAAGCTATGAAAATCTAATTCAAACCCCTGAAAATTTAGTTTTATTAGGGTTTTGGTAAAAAAACAGTGAAATGAAGTGTTAGTTAAACTGCGATGAATAAAAAAAAGTAGAGACAAAAAAATATAAATTTTATTCTGAAATGTAACATTTTTTGAAACGTAATTCGTAGCAACTGCACTAAACAGGAAAGGAGATAATTTTGAACAAAATTTTAAATTTCAAGAATAACCCCTCGAAAAAATCCATTATAATCGATTAAAAATGGATTATTTTTCCTTCGAAAACAAGTTTCATTTTCTTTCAAAAATAATCGATTATAATCGATTATAATCGATTATATTCGGATTTTATTGATTAAAAAATAGTTTCATTATAATCCATTTTTAATCGATTATAATCGATTATTATCGAAATTTATTGAGACAGACCACGAAAATTCATTATAATCGATTATGATCCATGGAACTCCGGTGCGGGTCCCTCCACTTTTCTATTTACTAAGAAATGGCCGCCTCTTAAAAAAGCAGTAAATTACCGCGAGAGCGATGTATTTATCATTCGAATTTTGCTGCATTCTGATGGTAGAAAAATCGGCTCACATAATCTACTTAACAATTACCGCCACTTCTTGGAAGGGGTGATAAATGTTAAGTAGATCCGTTTTGTGTACACAATTTTGACCAGCTCATAGAGAGCGTGCAAGATATCAAGCTTGATATTTAAAAAAGCCTTTTCAGTCGTGTCCTGATTCAAAAACAATTTAACAATTTTCAGAAAAATTTCAGCAACAAGAAAAATCTGCCTGAAAACTTGCAACTATGCCAATAAAAGAAGTTTGCATAAGTAAATTATAATATATCTAGTAAAATAAGTGTTTTAATGTAGCACCTTTCAAAAGTAAAACCGAATTCACAAAAAAAGTTAAAAACGTTCATAGATTATCTCTGCAAAGATGAATATGGTGCGGGCACTGAGGGCTTAGTGCACAACAAATGGCCATATCCTTCTTTGTTTTATATTGCATGCTCTTCGTAAATGTTAAATTTTCGATGATTTTTATGCTTTTGCTCAGTGTTGTTAATCATGTTTAAATGGAAGCTGGTTATGATACCTCGTCTGTTTTGTATACTACCAAATAATCAGTGGTTACAACCATTAACTATAGTGTATTATGGCTACTGAAAATCATTTCAGGTGCTGGGCCCTGATATCAGCAGCCTTTTTAGCCTTTTAAACCTTTTTAGAGAGCAAAATTTACACAAGCTGTGAGTTTGCACAAACACTGATCGACTATGGACTTGTCAGCTCATCCGACCCGGAATTGCGGTTCAAATTGGGTAACTGGGTGTGTCTGGCTTATCATGAGTCGCTTCTAAACACGGCGGCCACCAATAACAACACAAACGGAAGTCGCGACTACGGAATCTTTCAGGTACACGTTCCTTTTAAAAACAAGAAGTGAATATTTTTGATCAAGTCCCTCTGCGTAATGAAGTTCCTATTTTTTCAGATTTTAGCTGTAGTAAAACAAAATTTGTCGTCTGCTGAACCAGTGACTTAGTAAATTAGTTTCCAAGTATACTCAAGCAAATGCACTCACGACATAGATCAATTTTTACGCTTGACCGCAAATGGATAACAAGACTTCTCGTATCAGGGCAAAGCCCTGAATGTTGCGACTGCCTTTTAAGGTGTATGGAGCAGCAATAAAATTTTAAAATTAAATATAAAAAACTAATAAATTTAATCTTTTTTTTCTAATTTGAGATTTTTTGTTATTTCATCACCCCACATGCCATACAAAGTACGAAGTGATAGATTTTGCTCCTAAAAACAAATCAATTTTGGCAAATAAGCTTCTTTCAACTAATTTGAAACGATTAGTAAGACGGATTGAGTCTCCGCCTAGGCATAAATGGCGCGAAATATATCGTGCGTTAATTGTTCCAAACTGGCTAAAATGGCAATCTTTAAACCCCATAACTACGAAAAACAACCATAGGTGAAATAAGTTTCGAAGAAAAAACCACCCGAGCACAAATATTCTGTTACTTTCGTTACGAAAGTCGTATCAATAATCGATTATAATTGATTTTCATTGTCAATTCCTATAAAATTCTAAGACAAATGTCTATAATGGATTAATGATCGATTATAGTTTTAAGAAAACAAACAGTCCAATATAATTGATATTATTGGATATAATCGGTTAATTTTAGCTAATCAATGGATTTAAAAAATCTTTATAAGCCAGGCTGAAAGTTCAAACCAAACTCGGTATACTGACGGTACTCTTTGTTTTGAGATTGAGATTCGGCGTATATCAATGAATTCTTGTTTTTTGTTTATTCTCTTCACGATAAATTTGTTTAATCTAAAAAACTGAAATTTTCATTTTTTGTTTCTAGCAATTCGTTGAGTTTTGTTCACTCCTCCATCTGATTTAACCTCCCATAAACTCCTATTTTCCTTTTTCCTCGAAATCGATTTTGGACTTTGGGCGGAGAAGTGGGGTTGAATGTGAAATGCGAATGGGTATGGATTTCGACTAGGCGGTACTCTTTGTTTTGAGATTGAGATTTGGCGTATATCAATGAATTCTTGTTTTTTGTTTATTCTCTTCACGATAAATTTGTTTAATCTAAAAAACTGAAATTTTCATTTTTTGTTTCTAGCAATTCGTTGAGTTTTGTTCACTCCTCCATCTGATTTAACCTCCCCTAAACTCCTATTTTCCTTTTTCCTCTAAATCGATTTTGGACTTTGGGCGGAGTAGTGGGGTTGAATGTGAAATGCGAACGGGTATGGATTTCGACTAGGCGGTACTCTTTGTTTTGAGATTGAGATTCGGCGTATATCAATGAATTCTTGTTTTTTGTTTATTCTCTTCACGATAAATTTGTTAAATCTAAAAAACTGAAATTTTCATTTTTTGTTTCTAGCAATTCGTTGAGTTTTGTTCACTCCTCCATATGATTTAACCTCCCCTAAACTCCTATTTTCCTTTTTCCTCTAAATCGAGTTTGGACTTTGGGCGGAGTAGTGGGGTTGAATGTGAAATGCGAACGGGTATGGATTTCGACTAGGCGGTACTTTTTGTTTTGAGATTGAGATTCGGCGTAAATCAATGAATTCTTGTTTTTTGTTTATTCTCTTCACGATAAATTTGTTTAATCTAAAAAACTGAAATTTTCATTTTTTGTTTATAGCAATTCGTTGAGTTTTGTTCACTCCTCCATCTGATTTAACCTCCCCTAAACTCCTATTTTCATCTTTCCTCTAAATCAATTTTGGACTTTGGGCGGAGTAGTGGGGTTGAATGTGAAATGCGAACGGGTATGGATTTCGACTAGGCGGTACTCTTTGTTTTGAGATTGAGATTCGGCGTATATCAATGAATTCTTGTTTTTTGTTTAGTCTCTTCACTATAAATTTGTTTAATCTAAAAAACTGAAATTTTCATTTTTTGTTTCTAGCAATTCGTTGAGTTTTGTTCACTCCTCCATCTGATTTAACCTCCCATAAACTCCTATTTTCCTTTTTCCTCGAAATCGATTTTGGACTTTGGGCGGAGTAGTGGGGTTGAATGTGAAATGCGAATGGGTATGGATTTCGACTAGGCGGTACTCTTTGTTTTGAGATTGAGATTCGGCGTATATCAATGAATTCTTGTTTTTTGTTTATTCTCTTCACGATAAATTTGTTTAATCTAAAAAACTGAAATTTTCATTTTTTGTTTCTAGCAATTCGTTGAGTTTTGTTCACTCCTCCATCTGATTTAACCTCCCCTAAACTCCTATTTTCCTTTTTCCTCTAAATCGATTTTGGACTTTGGGCGGAGTAGTGGGGTTGAATGTGAAATGCGAACGGGTATGGATTTCGACTAGGCGGTACTCTTTGTTTTGAGATTGAGATTCGGCGTATATCAATGAATTCTTGTTTTTTGTTTAGTCTCTTCACTATAAATTTGTTTAATCTAAAAAACTGAAATTTTCATTTTTTGTTTCTAGCAATTCGTTGAGTTTTGTTCACTCCTCCATCTGATTTAACCTCCCATAAACTCCTATTTTCCTTTATCCTCTAAATCGATTTTGGACTTTGGGCGGAGTAGTGGGGTTGAATGTGAAATGCGAACGGGTATGGATTTCGACTAGGCGGTACTCTTTGTTTTGAGATTGAGATTCGGCGTATATCAATGAATTCTTGTTTTTTGTTTTATCTCTTCACGATAAATTTGTTTAATCTAAAAAACTGAAATTTTCATTTTTTGTTTCTAGCAATTCGTTGAGTTTTGTTCACTCCTCCATCTGATTTAACCTCCCCTAAACTCCTATTTTCCTTTTTCCTCTAAATCGATTTTGGACTTTGGGCGGAGTAGTGGGGTTGAATGTGAAATGCGAACGGGTATGGATTTCGACTAGGCCGTGAGTAATGCAGAAAATGTTCAAATAACTTTGCAAAACTTGTTGAGATTACATTACAATCCATACTAATTAGTGACAATGAAACTCAAATGAGTTTTAATCAATTATAATGGATTTTGTTTGTATAGAAAAATCGATTACTATGTCAGTATTTCATGGTGTAAAAATGCAAAAATAATGAATTATAATGACAATATTTTGAATAATTCCATTTTATTACCATCAAAATTGAGTTTTTTTCCATGAAATTACGGTGTCGGTCATGTAAATCAGAAATAAATCTTCTTTATTAAGTTATCATTTTTAGATCTAATTTTCAGTTGAACTATTGCTATAGAAGAAAAAAGTGCCCATTAAAAGTTGTTTTCTTCGCATCCACCTAATTGGAGACAAAAAAATTGAATTTTCTAAACTTTGAAAGTCATTGTTTTACAGTCCGCTAAAATTAGTCCGGAGAACCAATTATGGGGGCGCCCCGGACACTATCGAGCGCTTTTTAGATGATGTTTTCAATATCAACAGAGTGCCATCGGTTTTGAATGTATGACTTCAGACTAACATGTATTGAATGTCGGAATCATAGCGTTAACAACTCGCAAGCAGATTTGAGTGATCAACAGAGCCAAATGCTTTGACAAATTGAGAATTTACAAACAAAGTGTTCTTTAGTAGGTTGTTATTTCAAAAAGATCCAAAGTTGAGTCTATTTGAGAATTTTTTGAATGAAATCCGAATAGACTCGGCATCAACGTTTTTTGCTTTTATAAATATTTAGTTTTTCTGCTTGATTTTTTAAAACTTTTAAAGCATTTTTTTTTCACTGAAGAATCGAAACTGGTCGGTAGTTTAACAGTTATCTCTCTTTTGTGGCGCTGTATTATTTAGAAAATTTATAATTCTTTTTATTATAAATTTTATTGCTCCTCCAAAAAATAATAAATTCTCGAAATAATATTCTCACAGATTGAAAAACATATCAAGATATTCTCAATTAGCGACATTTTGTTCCGATTTTTGATACGAAAGTAACGGAATAATTGTGCTCGGGTGGGTTTTTTTTTCTTCAGACAAATTTCGACTTTTTAACTAGCCATTTTTGACGGATCTTTTATGATATCATTCAAAAGATATTGTTGTCCTGAGCTCAAATTTGAAAAGATATTTCACCTGTGATCATTTTTCGTAAAGTTATGGGGGTTTAAAGATTGCCATTTTGGACAATTTGGGACAATTAACGCGCGATATATTTCGCGCTATTAACGCGTAAGCGGAGAGTTAATCCATCTTAAAATCGTTCCAAATTGGTTGAAAGAAGCCATAATTGTTTTGTTACAAGGAGCTAAATCTATCTTTTTGTAGTTTAAATGGCGTGTGGGGGGATGATTTTCATAAAAAATTTCAAATTTAAAATTTTTTTTTATTTTTATTTTATTACATTTAATTTTTTAATGTTATTATTGCTCCATAAAACTTTAAAAGGCAGTCGGAACATTCAGGGCTTCGCCTTGATACGAGCAGTCTTGTCGCTTCTTTTGTTAAAAACCAATAACGTGGTCATTATTTTAGCGGTTTCTACTTTCAATGATTGTTCAAATTTTTCACTAGTTTTTTTTCTTATGATTATAATAGTCAATTATTTTGCTGGATCAATACCTGCTATCTGCTCAGTGAGAAAGATGTCAGTTTGGTTGGCTAGAACGAACAAAGTTTTGAACCATCTTTTGATTGTTTTTGTTTGAGGTTCTCTAAATCAGAATCAAGTAAGACCTGAGAAGCAACTCTGAGTATTTCGTTGATAACAGAAGAACTTGTTAGCAGAGACAAAAGTCAACTGATAGTCTATCTCAGAAATCTCTGGACTACCATCATGCTTGATATTAATTGTTCAAAATTTATTTTTGCGATGAAGTGTTTCTTTTTCTAGTAACTGACCTTTCTATCCCCTCCAAGCATCGCAATTTTTTACCATCTTTTTTTTTCGGATATCGTTTATGATTTTTTTTCGGTTACTCTTCATTTATACTCGTTTAGATAAACAACTACTACTGGTGCGACAGTGGCTTTGGATACAACGAATGCAGTATGCCATGCTCCGATCTGCTCACTGATGACATAAGAGATGCCACCAACTGTGCCAAGTTGATCTACAGAGTGCAGGGGTTCTTCGCTTGGTACGGGTGGATCTACAACTGCAGAGCCCAAACTGAGACCGCTATTGAAAACTGGGTAAAAAGCTGCCATTTCTGAGGAGGAAATGTCATTTGAATCATAACAGTAACTGGAACATTACTCTATTCAAGAAAAAGGAAGCGGTTAAATTAGAAAAAAAAAAAGAAGAACGAGAGTTTGCTTTTATGATTTTAAAATTTGATTATGGTTCAATGTTAACGGTAAATGAACACTATTTCTCTGATTGCGAAAAAAACTAAAAATAAAACAAATGATTCCAATTTATCACTGCAATTTTTTAATATAAAAAATGGTTTAAAAGGCGAAACATTGAGTCTATCTTATTGAAATCCATCACCAAGCTTCACACTTCAAGAACGGGCTCCACGACCGTGCTTTTCGACTTCTCGGGCGGAGCTGGTCTGTGCATGGCTGCGATTGAATCTTTAAGAAGTTTCTCCTTGGCAACCAGTCGGTTCAGCCGATGAGCCAGCTGCTCTTTTTCGATTCCCTTGGCCGCGCCTGATGAGCTTTCATACGTGTGTAGCATGCGTTCAACGTCTTGTGACGTGAACTCAACAGGTGCACAACCTCTATTCTTGAAAACAGAATTCAATGCACGACTTGAAATGGTTATCATCAGAACTGAGAAGAAACGCTCTGAACATAATTCTTTGCTGTTTTTCTTTTCCACTTAATCTTTTTGGGCTACGAAAACGCAACTTTCCCAAAGCTTACTAGCTAAAACACCTTAATTAGTCGCATGTTCTGATACGTGAAAAATCACAGTGGTATCATGATGGTCGGGAACCAAGAGTAAGCATCGGCACATTTGAAGAGCTTTGGTATTTTCAGCCGCGTTTTCAGCGCAGCCCGACTTTGTTCGGTTTTTAGGTTCAATTTTTAGGCAATACCTGCTTTTGCCGATCAACAAAGCTTTTCGAGGTGAGGTAGAAACCACCTTACAATTGTTTCACCATTGTGAATTAAAAGATCGGCAGCTCATAATTCACCTGACTTGATTGAGGTTGACCTGGCGATCTCCACAGCCTCTGAAATATAATACGATGACAGTCGGCTTTGTCTATAGTTACGTATGTAGTCTTCCTCAAAGCTCGTCTTATCTTCATAAAATCATCACTGAAAAGTTGTGTCGAGCTTGGGCCTCGAAATCAGGGGCGGGTTTAGGGGGGGGGGCGTACGCTTTTTCCTCCTCAGGGATTCGACCCCCTGCCGACCCAAAGGTTCCCCCCTTTGGTATTTTTTAAGAAATCCATTTTTGGCCGACCGATCTTAAAAACTTTCTAAAGGCGCCTTTGGCGCCAATATATATTACTTTTGAGGGGGGATCACGCGCCGAAAAAACGCTATTTTTTGGTCAAAATTTTCCAAAAAGTGCCTAAAAACGCCTTTTTTGGTCTTTTTTTTTGCAAAATTTTGGCTGCGACATAGAAAGTTTGGCCAAAACAGGGACTAAACCGTGCTTAGGGAGAGCTTGAAAAATCAATTCGGTCGACCTAAAAAAAGGTCGACAAAATTTCGACATTTTTTAAAAATCCCCCCCCCCCCCCCCTCGAGAAAATCCTAGATCCGCCCCTGCTCGAAATGACAGATCATTTCATGTATATCAACTAGATAAAACCAAAACATATCCCAATGAAAGGGGAGAAATTGAAGAAATTCTCTTAAGTCTGTACTTCCAAAAATTCTGAGCTCACACTAAATTGTTTGAACAGTTAGCATAAACGATAGTACTAACCCGTAGAACAGTGGATAGTACCAGTGGACCAAATCGCTTCCTGTACCACTCCAGAAACAGACCCACGCCAATCACCACCAACAGAACACCCACAAAGCACACTCCAAATCGGAACAACTCACTGTAAAATAACAATTCGGCCAGCAAATTATCAATTTAACCGCACTTAAAAATTAACCTAAAACCAAAAATTTTCATAAACGATCGCTTTGGCGATAAAACAAATTCCATCGGGAATAATTAAACTAGCAGCAATTTATTCGAAAATTATAAACAACTTCAAAAAATACGGCAAAATATTGCGATTATATATTAGCATAGATGGCAGCCAAGGTCTTAATAAAATCTGGAAATTGTGTCACGATACTTTTTGGTTTACTTTAGTAGGTTTCAATTCAAAAACACATCGAAATTTAACAAAACTGCTTGTATCAGGGCGAAGCCGAGAATGTATCGACTGCCATGTAAGGTCTATGAATTAAAGATAACTAGAAAAAATGTGAAGATGTAAAAAAAAAAGAACAAAAATTAATTTTTTTTTAAGCTGAGATTTTTTGTGAAATCGTCCCCCCACACGCCATAAATTTCAAAAAATGATAAATTTCGCTCCTAGTGACAAATTAATTATGGCAAATAAGCTTCCTTCTACCAATATGGAAAGATTTCTAAGACGGATTAAATCTCCGCTTACGCGTTAATGGAGCGAAATATATCGCTGGTTAATTGTCCCAAATTGACCAAAAAGCCAATCTTTAAACCCCATAACATTACGAAAAAAGATCACAGGTAAAGTATCTTTTCAAATTTAAGCTCAAGACAACAAAACAGCAAATTTAGGCTCGTCAAAAATGGCTAGTTAAAAAGTCGAATATTGTCTGAAGAAAAAAAAACCCACCCGAGCACAAAAATTCCGTTACTTTCGTTACGAAAGTCGGAACAATAATAACAAGACTGCTCGTATACAATATCAAAGGTTGAGTGTGAAAATTTGAGTCGTACGAAACTAATACGACCGATTAGCTAGCCTTAATTGCTCCAATTTTTGATGAAAAGGGAATATTTATGCTCGGTTGTGGTTTTTTTTATTTGGTCAATTGTCGCCAATCGATAGTTTTCAACAAAAACTACTTGTACCGCATTGCACATATCGACTTCCTGAGTTCAAATATAAAAAGATATTTTATCTCAGATTATTTTTTGTAAAATTTTGGGGGTTTGAAAGTTGCCAAATTGGCCATGTTCTGGACTAAATTATGCGTGCTATGAAGAATTAAAGCCTAATGCTGAGAGTGTAACCTCAAATTAATTATGCGGGGCAAATTATCCTGCACAACAAAATTGTTCCAAATTGAACATGGGCTAGCTAATCGGTCGTATTTATTTCGTACGACTCAAAATTTTACTTTTTGATATTCTCCAAAATTTATACGTTTTCAATATTTTTTTTTAATCAAAAACTATTCGATATGAAAAAAAGGGCAATCGGAACATTCAGGGCTTAGCCATAAAATCAATGCAGTCTTGTTTAATTTGGAACGATTTTGTTTGGCGGGACATTTCGCCACGCATAAATAGTTCGCGTAACGCTTTCAGGAATATGGATAAATGGAGTGCGGTCTGTATTTAGACAACAGCGTATTCATACTCGTCAGCAAGCAGACAATTATTACTTTAACCAATCAGAATTGAAATGAGAAAGCAACCTTACGAAATAAATAATTATTTTTAAATAAGTTCTTCCTTGTCTCGATTCTGATTGGTTAATATAGCCTTTGTCTGCTTACTGACGAGTATGAATACGCGGTTGTCTAAATACTGCAAACTAATCGGATAAAATCTACAAAGCACGCATGAGTTAGTCCAGAGCATGGCTAAATTGGCAGTTTTCAAACTCCCAAAACTTAACAAAAACTGATCGAAGGTAAAATGTAAATAATTGATTTCAGGGAGTCAATATCTTCATTGGGGCAAAAAGTTTTTTAAATTAAAAACTATTATTTCGATCGCCGAAAACTGACTCCGAAATCAATTCGGTCGACCTAAAAAAAGGTCGACAAAACTTCGACATTTTTTAAAAATCGGCCAGCAAATTATCAATTTAACCGCACTTAAAAATTAACCTAAAACCAAAAATTTTCATAAACGATCGCTTTGGCGATAAAACAAATTCCATCGGGAATAATTAAACTAGCAGCAATTTATTCGAAAATTATAAACAACTTCAAAAAATACGGCAAAATATTGCGATTATATATTAGCATAGATGGCAGCCAAGGTCTTAATAAAATCTGGAAATTGTGTCACGATACTTTTTGGTTTACTTTAGTAGGTTTCAATTCAAAAACACATCGAAATTTAACAAAACTGCTTGTATCAGGGCGAAGCCGAGAATGTATCGACTGCCATGTAAGGTCTATGAATTAAAGATAACTAGAAAAAATGTGAAGATGTAAAAAAAAAGAACAAAAATTAATTTTTTTTAAGCTGAGATTTTTTGTGAAATCGTCCCCCCACACGCCATAAATTTCAAAAAATGATAAATTTCGCTCCTAGTGACAAATTAATTATGGCAAATAAGCTTCCTTCTACCAATATGGAAAGATTTCTAAGACGGATTAAATCTCCGCTTACGCGTTAATGGAGCGAAATATATCGCTCGTTAATTGTCCCAAATTGACCAAAAAGCCAATCTTTAAACCCCATAACATTACGAAAAAAGATCACAGGTAAAGTATCTTTTCAAATTTAAGCTCAAGACAACAAAACAGCAAATTTAGGCTCGTCAAAAATGGCTAGTTAAAAAGTCGAATATTGTCTGAAGAAAAAAAAACCCACCCGAGCACAAAAATTCCGTTACTTTCGTTACGAAAGTCGGAACAATAATAACAAGACTGCTCGTATACAATATCAAAGGTTGAGTGTGAAAATTTGAGTCGTACGAAACTAATACGACCGATTAGCTAGCCTTAATTGCTCCAATTTTTGATGAAAAGGGAATATTTATGCTCGGTTGTGGTTTTTTTTATTTGGTCAATTGTCGCCAATCGATAGTTTTCAACAAAAACTACTTGTACCGCATTGCACATATCGACTTCCTGAGTTCAAATATAAAAAGATATTTTATCTCAGATTATTTTTTGTAAAATTTTGGGGGTTTGAAAGTTGCCAAATTGGCCATGTTCTGGACTAAATTATGCGTGCTATGAAGAATTAAAGCCTAATGCTGAGAGTGTAACCTCAAATTAATTATGCGGGGCAAATTATCCTGCACAACAAAATTGTTCCAAATTGAACATGGGCTAGCTAATCGGTCGTATTTATTTCGTACGACTCAAAATTTTACTTTTTGATATTCTCCAAAATTTATACGTTTTCAATATTTTTTTTTAATCAAAAACTATTCGATATGAAAAAAAGGGCAATCGGAACATTCAGGGCTTAGCCATAAAATCAATGCAGTCTTGTTTAATTTGGAACGATTTTGTTTGGCGGGACATTTCGCCACGCATAAATAGTTCGCGTAACGCTTTCAGGAATATGGATAAATGGAGTGCGGTCTGTATTTAGACAACAGCGTATTCATACTCGTCAGCAAGCAGACAATTATTACTTTAACCAATCAGAATTGAAATGAGAAAGCAACCTTACGAAATAAATAATTATTTTTAAATAAGTTCTTCCTTGTCTCGATTCTGATTGGTTAATATAGCCTTTGTCTGCTTACTGACGAGTATGAATACGCGGTTGTCTAAATACTGCAAACTAATCGGATAAAATCTACAAAGCACGCATGAGTTAGTATTGAGCATGGCTAAATTGGCAGTTTTCAAACTCCCAAAACTTAACAAAAACTGATCGAAGGTAAAATATAAATAATTGATTTCAGGGAGTCAATATCTTCATTGGGGCAAAAAGTTTTTTAAATTAAAAACTATTATTTCGATCGCCGAAAACTGACTCCGAAATCAATTCGGTCGACCTAAAAAAAGGTCGACAAAATTTCGACATTTTTTAAAAATCACCTCCCTCGAGAAAATCCTAGATCCGCCCCTGCTCGAAATGACAGATCATTTCATGTATATCAACTAGATAAAACCAAAACATATCCCAATGAAAGGGGAGAAATTGAAGAAATTCTCTTAAGTCTGTACTTCCAAAAATTCTGAGCTCACACTAAATTGTTTGAACAGTTAGCATAAACGATAGTACTAACCCGTAGAACAATGGATAGTACCAGTGGACCAAATCGCTTCCTGTACCACTCCAGAAACAGACCCACGCCAATCACCAACAACAGAACACCCACAAAGCACACTCCAAATCGGAACAACTCACTGTAAAATAACAATTCGGCCAGCAAATTATCAATTTAACCGCACTTAAAAATTAACCTAAAACCAAAAATTTTCATAAACGATCGCTTTGGCGATAAAACAAATTCCATCGGGAATAATTAAACTAGCAGCAATTTATTCGAAAATTATAAACAACTTCAAAAAATACGGCAAAATATTGCGATTATATATTAGCATAGATGGCAGCCAAGGTCTTAATAAAATCTGGAAATTGTGTCACGATACTTTTTGGTTTACTTTAGTAGGTTTCAATTCAAAAACACATCGAAATTTAACAAAACTGCTTGTATCAGGGCGAAGCCGAGAATGTATCGACTGCCATGTAAGGTCTATGAATTAAAGATAACTAGAAAAAATGTGAAGATGTAAAAAAAAAGAACAAAAATTAATTTTTTTTAAGCTGAGATTTTTTGTGAAATCGTCCCCCCACACGCCATAAATTTCAAAAAATGATAAATTTCGCTCCTAGTGACAAATTAATTATGGCAAATAAGCTTCCTTCTACCAATATGGAAAGATTTCTAAGACGGATTAAATCTCCGCTTACGCGTTAATGGAGCGAAATAAATCGCCGAAAACTGACTGAAAAAAAAACACCACGCTAAGCAAGAATATTCTGATTTCTTTGAAAGTCGGAACAATCAATGGTTTGAAAGTGAAGTCTTTACCTGAACGGAGTTACAGTTAAGAATTCTTTTTAAAAACGTAACTTGAGAGAGCGCCATAAGACTAGGTCAAGCGTAGATAAAATTTAGAATGAAAACGA